ACCGTATAATTTTCCGGGATTTTCTGGATTTTTTATAAAAATAAATTTCCAGGATTTTGATTAAAAAAAAACTCCGGAATTTTCATTAAGTCATTCTCCGGAATTTTCATTAAGTCATCAAACTCATCTATTATATTTATGGTAGCTCCTTATTAATTTTTTAACATTCTAAAATCGAAAAAATTTAGATTCTAAAATTTCAACTGACATTTTCATATTTACATTAACTAAAAGAGACAGTAGTCGGAAATGCTTTAAAATGAGAACATGATAACTTCAAGTTACTTTATTTTTACATTATTAAAGTTTTATTTCTTTTTTTTTTATTACGTATTATAATTATTACTTAACTATAATATAAATCAGTTTTTTTGCTTGAAATACTTAATTTTCAAAATATACTTAACATATTTCCATTCCTTAACAATTTTTAAAACTCCAAGAAGGTATGCACAGTATTTTTTTCTCTCTAAGCCTCTGAGTTGATACAATTTGTCACTTTAAAGTAACCAGAATAGAGAAAAACTTAAATAGTATAAAAATTATTTTTTACTGTTTAAGACATATATACTCAACATATTACTTCCATTTGATAACTTTGGAGTTAATTAGTTTCAAGAATTATCATTCGAGAATTCACGTGAAGAGAAAAAAATCAAGTAAAAGTAATGAATATCAGATTGATTTCAAAAGTTTCTTGAAAATTAAGTTAAGAAAATTTAGTTTTCTGCCTTCTGTTCAACTCCGTTTAATTCAATATAAACTTTTAAATATTGGATGGGAATCTGTTTACATTTTTGCATTCCATTTTTAACCCCATGGGTACCAGGGGTTAAAAAAGGAAATGCAAAAAATGTAAACAGATCCATAGGAAGAGGGGTAATTCCCCCTCCCCGCCTTCCTTAGATTTGATCATTTAACACAGCGTACTGTTTGAAAAAGAAAAAAGTTAATTGAAATAGGGTGCTTGAAAATGATATAAAATTCTAATAAAATTGGAAAATGCAAATTTTTGCCCCTTAAAATCATCTTCCCCCTCTCCCACACTTTTACCAGATGGTCAACATCTACCAAAACAAAAACACTTAAAAACTGCTGCTACGGGTTCAGACTATCTGGTAAGGAGGGGCCTTTCCATATAGTCTGATAGGTACCCATTTTGATATTAAATTTATTAAAAATGAAATGATACTTGACTATAGCCAGCGTAAAGGATCAAATCAATTCAATGTCAAAGGGATATAATATATCATATATTACACGTTGTTAAAATGGTATATTATAAATGTTAAAAGGATATATTATATCCTTTTGACATTGGTATATCATAGATCCTAAAATGCGTGGCGAATGCGTGTAAAAATGTGCATGGTATTTATTTTTATTACAAAAATGTTATAACATTTTCAGTTTTAAAGAGCAAATAAAACTTTTTTTAATATAAAATATTTTTCGCTTAAAAAGTTTCTTTTTTGCAAATTATAGAAATAATAGTTAAAGAAAAAAGCTTGTTCATTATTTCAAGCATTTCTAACCTTTGTGCCAAATTTCGTCTAAACCCAAATAAAGCTAAAAACTTAGGAACAATTTTTTTTTATTAATAAAAACAAATCTCGCCAAAACCAAATTTTTCAGTCAATTTGAATACACTTCGTCTTCAAACCAAGCTGGGACCTTTTCAGATGCACTGTGGGAAATTCATAAAGTTGTTTAAAAGAAATATCACAGTTGTTTGTATTGTGCGATTAAATGCATTAGCTATAAATCCGTTTTTTTTATTTCTAAGTACCTAATTGAATTTTAGTAAATAATAAATTAATGTTAATTAGTAAGTAACTCATAAATTAAAATTTTTAAAGCATTATTGAAAGGATATTTTTGTGATACCATCATATTATATGTATATAATGCATATATAATCCATCATATCATATGTATATAATGCATGTTTATAAGCATGTTGAAATTTAGCAATTTCTTAATGGATTAATAGCCACTTCTTCACCAATCTTTCTTAATTCTTTTATAACCACTTTTTTACGTGATACAATCTTTTTGTCTCTAATACAGCTAACCTTACTATTTTCTCGCATAACCTGACTGAACAACAAATATTTGTATATAAATATATAAATTTTTAATCCAAAAAAAATGACTTAAATATTAGTACATATTTATTCATTGATATGAAAATTATATCATTTTTTTGGCACGTCCTTATAATGATTTTCTTATACCTAATAAGCAAAAATTGTTTAAGGATTTTCTCTTATTCAACAAGACTGCCAATGCGATGACGTCATAGCAACTTAGTATATAAGTAGTACTGAGTTTTGTTGTTAAGACAATTTATCTTAAGAAAAATTTAGGACAATTTATCTTAAGGTAAGTTTGTTTTTTACATTTAAGTCCATTTCAAAAATGTCGTTCTTTTTTTTATCTATTTTATATACTTTTTTGGTATTCTTTTTGTTTAGCAATGTCTCTACCTTCTTCTGTTTCAGCCGCTATTGCTTGTTTTTGATATTATATTTTTTTAGCAAGGCGTCTACTCCCAGTGGACGTAAAAAAGACGTCTTTTAAACGTTTTATACACGTTTTATACGTCTTTTGAACGTTTTGGACGTCTTTTGAACGTCCAAAAGACGTCTTTTTTTGATCCGGTGCCCACTGGGCTCCTACTTTCTTCTGTTTCTGCAACACTTGCCTTAACATCTTGTTCTCTTTGCTTTTCTTGCCAAGAAGCTCGTTTTTCAGCTAATTTGTTTGCTCTAGCTTAGGATCTTGGATTACCAAGACTTGGAAATCTTAGAAATCTGATTTCTGGTCTTTTTCTCGAGCAAGGCAAACACATCGATCAAGTTATGTTTGAATATACTTGATCCATTGTACATTCCTACGCTGTTTATTTCAGTCGGATGTATCAGTCGGATGTATATGAATATGCATTTATGAATATCTATATATATATACATTATATGCGAAGTCGGATGTATAAATCATATATATATATATATATATATATATATATATATATATATATATATATATATATATATATATATATATATATATATATATATATATATATATATATATATATATATATATATATATATATATATATATATATATATACATATAAAGAAAATAGAATTTAATGAAAATTTAATTCCGAATACAACGTTTTGCCAATTAAAGTTCAACGTTGAATCAACGTAAATAAAACGTTGGGCCAACGTATAAAATAAAACGTTGATTCAACGTAGAAAATATAACCAATTTCTGACTTTAAATAAACGTTTTATCAACATTGGTGTTTAGTTGTTGGCGACCTCGCATTTGTAACCACAATGATATAAAAACAACGTTGGCAGTCGATGTTGGGCCAACGTAACGCGCGACTTTGTTCTAATGTTTTAACAACGTTTGTGTACTAGCTGGGCTACTATATATATATATATATATATATATATATATATATATATATATATATATATATATATATATATATATATATATATATATATATATATATATATATATATATATATATATATATATATATATATATATATATATATATATATATATATATATATATATATATATATATATATATATATATATATATATATATATATATATATATATATATATATATATTTGAAAATTTTGTAAGTTTTTTGACATCGGATTTTTATCGAAGTTATAAGTATTTTTTTAATCTATATTTCTCAATTTTCATATGTATTTTCTAAATACCTATGAAGTTTCATTTTAATTATAATTTGTAAAATGCTTCAAAAGCGTCAATCGTTTCACTTTTCTATTCAAAACTTTATTCCCTTTCGAATCGAAAATAAATTTGGGAATTATAAATTATTATTTTACAAGTATTCTAATTTCCTAATTATTATTTTACAAGTATTCTAATTTCCTTACAAGTATTCTAATTTCCATCTTTACATAAATAATATTTATATTTAAAAATATATTTACTTCATTTAAGAAAAGTATTTTAAAAAAAATATTTGTTTAAAAATTTAATCCACCATTTGTAAAAAAGGCAAAAGCGGCTTCACTTTTCGGATCGAAATTAGAAATCTAGTTTATACAATGTTGTTCTATTACTGTATATATATCTAGTTTATATAATATTATATAATATATCATTGATACAATCAGTAACTATTGCTACCGAAATGCCGTTGACCGAACGGAGTATTTCGAAGTTGTTCACAGTTTTCTGAAGGATTCCTTGTTGCATTTTTTAATGATATACAATAATGTAATGTTTAAACAATTAAAAACTTTTACACACATAACCAGGGGCGGACTGATAATCTTGCAGTATTTAATTGAAAATTTTCGTTTAAAACCTGACAAATGCTGTGAAACCATACAATTTCAAATATTTCAAAACCGTTTTTTGAAAGTGGAAACACTTACTACATTCAAATTCTTTAGTTTAAATTTTTAATGAATGAATGAGTTTGATGCTTTGATAATTGCATAAATCGCTTTTAAGTCAAGTTTTTTGAAAATCTTTAAACAATAAATTGTGTCGTTGTAAATTTAATATAGAAAATACATTTTTTATTAATGCAACATAAAAATTAAAATCTATTTAATAGTTTTAGTTTAAATTATTCTGCACAACGTAAAGTGAAATGCAGAACTAAGTTATAATTTGGAACTTATAAAACTTGCTGAATATTTTTTATATCACCTTAAGTAAATATTTGCGGAACCTCTAAGCTCTTATTATCATTATTTTATTTAACTAGATTTTTTTAATATTAATAATATAATAGTAATATTCAAAATACCTAATTTAAATAAGCTAACAAACTACTTAAAATCAAACATAATTTGCATCCGTACAAGATATAATAAACAATGTAAATCATTTTATTATGAAAAAAATTGCATGCAATTTAGTTAATATCCTGTTTTATCAAATATCAGCAATTATTTACACAAATATTAACGCTTACCAGATGTAAAGTTGCATTCAACATTTTCAAAATACAAGGAAAATAAACAAAGAGCCAAAATGGCTGTCCATGCCATATTATTAAGTTTTTCCAGATTTAAGTTAAATAATGATCACAAATATATTTATTTTAAGAAAGCATATCTATAAAACCCAGCTTATTTTGTGCAAGCTTACATTTTTTTTCTCTCGGTTGGATGTCGCAGCACCGCAGCGGCATTACAGCGTATCGGTATGCTTTATGGAAGCAGAAAGCAAATTCAAACAAACCTTAAAAGCTAAAATTATTTAAAAATACAAGGCAATCGATTTAAAGAAATACTTCTAGCTTGCAACTTTTTATTAGTAAAAAAAATAAATTATTCTTGTTCATTTTTTTAGGAAAAAAGCAACAGGAGTAGTATAAATTTAGTTTCAGTATGAAGAAAGTGCGTTATAAGGACGGTTGAGTAGGCAGAAAGCATATTAGCGCCGAGCCATTGTTATTATTTATTCGTTTAGTGAGTATACTTGAAAAAGCAGCGGCGAACGACTTGAAGATAAACAAATGCTATATTTAACTTTTCGAAATAATTTGACTTGCATTTTTTTAAGGACAACTACATAGAGAGATGTTTGACTGGTGGCGCACTATGAATCACTGATAATAAAATATTATTATTGTATTATTAAATTAATAAATACTTTAACTTTGTCTAAGCAATTGAAACTACTCCTCTCCATTGAGGAGGTTTTAATTTTTACATGGTCACCACTTTAAAAAAAGATATTTTTTAAATTTCATTGATGAATTTTGATTAAATACAACATTAAAAAAAATACTTTTTTAAATAATATTCTCTCTTGCATAGATTTGCTGATTAACCAACCTTTTTTGATATTTTATGCCCAACTTCAATTAGTGTGATTATTTTTTTAAATTTTGCATCCGTAATCATCCGTAATCATCCGTAATCATCCGTATAAACAATCTAAAACTTAAAATTTCTTTTAACACTATAACAAAAAAAAATCCTTGATCTGCTTGTTCAGCTTTGTTCTAAATATAAAAGCTAAAACTATAAAGTGATAAATTTTATTATCTTTTCATAAACACATGTTTCAAATCACATTTATAATCAGAAATGTACAGATGTATTCCAGTTATGTATCGAAGATTAGGTGTTACGTTATTTGCATTATCAAACAGGGCCAGAAAAAAAAACGGGAGGAGCAAATTCTTAAAATCACCGACTGCATTCTAAAATAATAATAATAATAATAATAATAATAATAATAATAATAATAATAATAATAATAGCAATAATAATAATAGCAATAATAACAATAATAATAGTAAAAAGGTACTCAAAACTACAAATTTGCTGACTCAAATATGTCAGAAGCCGTCTATATTCCTTAAAAACCGACTAGAAGTTGGAAATAGCCTACTTTGGAAGATGTAATTTTCCCCCTCCCTTCTTCTGGTATCAAAATTCCTTTTTACGAAAATTCACTCAAATTAGAACATCAAATGAAACGTGTGATTTGTTGTGAGGGGAAAACAGTATGTATCTGAATTAATAAGAAATTTTTTAGACTAAATGACATATTTATATATGTGAAAGTATAAATAATCAAAACAACAATGTTTTATGTTCAAAAATCTATATCAAAACTTTATAGAGTGAACTCCCGATATCTCAAACTTCCAAGGGACCTAGAAAATAGTTCGAGTTAACGAATGTTCGAGTTATCAGGACATTCTATAACACGAACTTTGGCCGATAAGTAAAAATAATTCCAGTTATTAAAAGTTTTGATCTCATAAGTAAAAATAATCCATTATAAATTGAAAAATGTTCTAATGTCACTCTGTTTTAGTTTTGAAGATACGTCTTTATCGAATATAATCGAGACAGCATTGAGCTTTTGTTGCAAATCTTTATCCATAAGACTGAATGGCATATAGCCATACAACATCTTAAGTGCCTTCCAAATATCACTAACTTTTGGGCAAACTGGATTGATTGCATTATCATCATCATTATCTTCCTCGTCATTACCATCATGTTCATTTGCTGCATTTTTAACTTCTTCTACCAACTGTTTATCTGTAAGTAAAGGTTCTGTGCTAATTAAGCATTCATCTGCAAAAACAACATCTTCAGCTGTTGTACCTGGAGGGTAAAAATTATCAAGTTTTTCTATCTGATTTTGTACCTCTTTAAAGAGGTTGTTGTCTTCATCCGAATATGCAGATTTCTGCTTTTGCAAAACAATTAATGATGGTGGAGGTTTTCACTTTTTGCCATGCAACATCAAGGATTTTGATTGCATCTAAAATTGAGAAAACAGGAAGATCTTTTTTTTATCAATAGCTACGACCGGTATTCGGTGGTAAAAAAATGAGCTCAATAGATTTTAGATTATCAACCGTCGGGTGTGCTGGGCAGTTATCTATTATGAACACTACTTTCTTCTTTTCTTTTGTAAACTTTTTATCCATTTCTTGTATCCACTCTTCAAACAGTACGCTATCCATCCAGCTTTTATTTTGATTTCTGTATTTGCAAGGTAAGTGCTTAATTCCTTTGAAGCAGCGAGGTGATTTTGATTTTCCAAATTTTTTTATAATATTGATATTTTGCAACGTACGTAATTATAACTTAAACAATAAACTTAATCAAACTATTATTATAGTTAACATTGCAACAACGCAAAGACTTCATTGCAGTTTTTTTTCATATTTTTGCTCTAAAGTTCGAGTTACTAGCTACGGGAACAGAAAAAATAGTTCGACTTAACGGGTGTTCGAGTTATCGAGCTGTTTTTATGTGAAAGTATTAGTGAGGGTTCAAGGGGAACTCAAAAGTAATTCGAATTACTGAAAGTTCGAGTTAACCGGTGTTCGAGATATCGGGATTTCAATGTATGTTCAACAACTTGTTTGAAAATAATGTTTTTAAACATGTATAGATATGTAAAGTAGTCCTATAAAAAATGTTGTTATTATTTTTAAACTATGACGTTTTTACATCATACTGCATATGTGATGCAATATCTTCACTTGGGTAAAAAATTAAACTTAAAAATCAAAGTGTAGCGTGACTATGAAAAAAATTAAACACCCTCAATTAAAAGTTTCAATCACAAATATTTGGCTTTTAAATTTTTTATTTATTTTACAATCAAATTAAAAGATTTTAAAATTTGGGACACTTTCCTTTTTTTCTCCAAAGGTATTTGTAGGGAATTGTCACAAACATAAAACTAGACTTCCTAGCCATGAAATTTTACTTTTATGGCCGGCTAAAATGGTTTCATGGCTGGCTAACCAGTTAAAAATGGCTAACCGATATTTTTTTAGCTGGCTAATTTTCATGGCTGGCTAGCTCACTTAAATCATGTTATATTAAGAAACGTTAGTTAGGTTTTAGCTTTTGTTAATACAATTTAGGAAAATGAGAGAAATTTCTAATACAGTATTTTTAATACACTATTTTTAATACACTATTTTTAAATATTACTTGATCAAAACTTAAAATAATGTAAAAAATGAAGTAAAATGTGTGCTAATGCAAAAAGCAAGAATTGTCTCAATAAAAATGTAAATTTATATCTTAATGTCTATTTAAAAAACGTCCCAGTTATAAGCTAATGTTGGGATAGTTATCATAGATGAAACAAAATGCATAGATTTGCTATGGTAACATTGATGATCTCTTTCCATTCATTATAATGCCAATTACACTAAAAAGGCATACCATGCAGGTACACCTTCAATGCTCAATGCAAGATAAACCTAGAAAAATTGAAAATAATTCAAAAAACGAACATTCAATTTTATGAAAATTTATCTCTTATTTATAAGTATTGGAAATTAATCAGTTATCATACTAATATAATTTTTTTTTAAATTTAAAAAGACTTATTCATAATTAGAATCATCTATACTTTATGTAATCTTACCGATAGTTCATAGTTCTTTATGTAATCTTACCGATAGTTCATAGTTCTTTATGTAATCTTACCGATAGTTCATAGTTCTTTATGTAATCTTACCGATAGTTCATAGTTCTTTATGTAATCTTACCGATAGTTCATAGTTCTTTATGTAATCTTACCGATAGTTCATAGTTCTTTTTCTTCTTCAATTAAAATTTAGGATAAAAATAGCTTTTACTTTTGTCATGGATGCTTTCAAAATTTTTAAGGAATTTGTCTCATTTAGTCAACTTTTTCAAAAATCTTGTGCACTTTTGATATTCAGACTAATCTCCAAAGCCTATTCACTTCGCGAAACTCCTGTTAATTGACCGAAATTGCATTCTGGGATGTCATGCCGGACCTCTTCCGCAACTAACACAAATAGTTTTTTTTCAAAATAAACTTTGTATCTTCGTTTTATGCGATTTTTGTAAATATCTCAATTTTGTATTCAAGATGTCTCAATTTTGTAACAATAAGATACATCAATTTTGTTAAGATTACCATTAGAATGTTTCAATAAGAATAAAATAATGGGGAAAGAAACGTTTTGTAGAACAAAAAAAGTTTTATAGAACATAAAGTTAGTGTAACTTTTTTATAACATAAATACAAAATCTTTTTTGTCTAAATCTTTCCTACAACAGTTGATGACCCACTGTTTACATCTAAAAATTAAACAATAAAAGAATGTTTTAAAATACTACAATAAAAATTTGATCAACTTTTTATGAAAGAAAAGTTATTATAAATAATATATGAATTAGCTTGCCTTTTTTCGTCTTTAGGAAAACAAAAAAATGAAATATCTTTACAGTTTTTTCCACTCTTATTTCCAAAGTTTATAGCATCACAAAATGATGGCATTGTTATAACTAAGATAAAAATTCTTTTGAGTACATACAAAAATAACTATTCGCTACTTGATATTATAAAACTATGAGGTCCGGCAGGACATCCCAGACTGCTTTGCGATAAAATTACAACGAGTTATATGAAATTATACCTGACTGAATAGGCTTTGCTAACCTCAACAGATTATGCAGACTCTATATATTCATGGATTTTGCTAAATGCATTTTAGGTGAAATGTTTGAACCAAACATTAAAGTTTTTATTTGATTGTAGCTGTTTTTTAACAAAGTTTCAAAATTTTTGCGTATTTGCGTACCAGTTTCTGATTATTATTTTTTTACTATTTTGTGTGAATAATTTGGTTACAAATCAACTTTAAGTAGTTTATTTGAAAGTTTAGATTTTACTCAAAAGTATTTCTTATTCTATAATTTAACCTAATTCTATAACACCATGTAACAACATTTTTGTTTATGTTAATTTTTTAATGTTTCTTACATAATTTTTGTATGCTGATTTCAGTGGTACCATTGGTTTTTCTCTATCATCAAGATTTCCTGAGAAAAAGCATAAAGTATATTTCGGAGTTTTCGTATATGTGTAATGCAATTAAAACATTATATATATATGCTGATTTTAACTATATTTGTGTGTTTATTTTCAGTTTAACTAATTACAACTGTTACATGAAGTAGTGAATATGTCTAGTAGATCCTGCAAGCTTTGTCCTGACTCATTCTGTTATGTTTGTGGTTACTATATTAGTCCAACACAAGCTAAACATAAGATTGTCAGTGGTACAAAATTCTTTACTGCATATCATGCTTATTTTGGCATGGCTATGGGAGATCAGGACAAATCGTGGGCACCACACTACAGTTGTGGTAGCTGCAGATCAACTCTGGAAGGATGGCTGCGTGGAATCCGAAAGTCAATGCCCTTTGCGATTCCGAGAATATGGAGAGAACCGACGAACCATCATGATGACTGCGTTTTCTGCATTGTTGACATTTCAAAGTATAAAAAACCGAAAGGTAGGCTGACTCTAGTTTATCCAAGTATACCATCTTCTATTGGACCAGTTCCACACAGTGATGAATTGCCTGTTCCTACTCCACCTCAATCCGAAGAAGCAGCTGCATATCATTCTGAAGTAGACTCACCGGATGAACTCAATGATGACTGTGATTTCAGGGAACCGAATGATTCACCTCATTTCCCTAACCAACAAGAACTTGATGACTTAGTATGAGATTTAGGTCTTACTAAATCAAATGCAGAACTTCTGACATCACGTTTGAAAGAATGGAATTTATTAGATCCAAGCTGCAGAACCTCGTTCGTGGTCTTTTCAATGACATTGGCATTGTTCACAATCCTGAAGAGTGGAAATTATTCATTGACAGCTCAACAAGAAGTCTAAAGGCAGTTTTGCTCCATAACGGAAACCGATTTCCTTCGATTCCAGTAGCTCATTCCGTTCATCTAAAGGAAGACTATAAGAACGTGAAGTTGTTGCTTGAGAAAATCAACTACGACAGTTACAAGTGGGATGTATGTGGAGACTTTAAGATGCTAGCATTTCTTCTCGGTCTGCAAGGAGGATACACAAAGTACTCGTGTTTTCTTTGTTTATGGGATAGCAGGGCTGCAAACCAGCACTTCACAAGGCGTGAGTGGCCAGTGAGAGAACATTTACAGCCTGGTTCGCACAATGTTATTAATCAATCTCTGATACCTGTTGAAAAGATCTTACTACCACCCCTTCACATTAAACTTGGTCTTATCAAACAATTTGTCAAAGCATTAAACCCAGATAGTGCAGCATTCCAGCATATTCGACAGATGTTTCCAAAGGTGTCAGATGCAAAAATTTCAGCAGGTATATTCGTTGGTCCACAGATTAAAGTTATGTTGGCATGTAAGGAGCTTGAGGACAAAATGTCTGCTGTTGAAAAAGAAACATGGACTGCATTTAGACATGTTGTTCATAGCTTTTTAGGCAACAATAAGAGTGATAACTGCAAAGAGATAGTGGAAAACTTAATTGTACGGTACGCAGATATGAAATGCAGAATGTCAATAAAGCTGCATTACCTGCATTCACACTTGGAATTTTTCAGACCAAATTTGGGTGATGTGAGTGAAGAGCACGGGGAACGTTTCCATCAGGATATTCTTGCAATGGAGAAAAGATACCAGGGCAGATGAGATGCAGCTATGATGGGTGACTACATCTGGTGTTTGATACGCAATGACGAGAAACTTCATAAAATAAAACCTCGTTAACATAACATAACACTTTTGAATTAGTAAATGTTTTATATTGACTAAAGTAGAATCTAATGCAAAACGATTTATATTAATTATATGTTTAATTGATTTTTTGGTTTTACGACCAAACGATTGATGCAATAAAAAATCCAATGTCATATTCAGACTCAGCATACTCAAATTAATTAAGAAACATCAAAAAATTTTGATAAACAGAAATTTTTTTTTTTTTTGTTACATTGTGTAATTTAATGAAAAATACAACATTTTTTTTAATTAAAAATTGAAGCAGCAAAAAAAAGAAAATCAAAGTATGGAAATTTTCATAACAATGTTATGAAAAGTTTTTATGAAAGAGTTGATGAAATTTTTTTCCGGTCATCTTTTTTAATATTATTCATGTTTTTTGAACAACAACATTTTTTT